AGAATAAAGTTCTACACCAAACTGGCTTATACCATCTCTAGCTGATCCTTGTTTTGACGCTTTCCCGAACGTTACCCTCCAAAGAATTATATATATATATATATATATATATATATATATATATATATATATATATATATATATATATATATATATATATATACAGTGTAGGAAAATTTTTATGGTCGGTATGGACCTTACGTGAGATGGAGTGAGAAACAGCTGTTTAAAAAGAGAGAGGTATATTAGGTACGCCCTTTATATCGCCGAATGGAAATATTAAAAAAGGGGAAATTCAACGTTGCCAAACTTATTGGTTTTATTTGACCTGTTGTCTTTTTTTGCATTTGAACAATGTTCTATCAAGAAGATAAAATGCTCAAGATAATCAAATTTGGGCGAAATTGATTTAAATGGCAGGTTACTGTTTTTTTTATTGGGAATATGCCACAAGTTTTCTTTACAATAATTGTAATATAACATTTTGATTTCCATTTCGGAAATCGTTTTATATAAATAAAATTTATTAATGTTTCGTATTTTAAGTACGATTTCCGAACTAAAAATCTAAACATCAAAATAATTTCCCAATATGAAATAATAAACAATTAAACATGCATACAATAACGCCAAATTAAAAAATATTCATACACTAATTTATTTGGCAACGTCTAGTCTAGATAGTCGTCTGGTCACGTCTGGTCAAAAGATCGAGTAACGAGAAGTAGAGGTGGGTCGTGCTAGTTTATCGTTAAGAGCTTAGGAGCAAAATTTCGGACCAGAGTTTTTTAAATGCATTCATTTTTTTCGAATCCTGAGAAAACTAATAAATATTTTTGAAAAAATTAAACGCAGAATGAAACAATACATTATTACCGAGAGCTTAAAGTCCCTGAAAACTTCTATAATGTTTATTTTAATAAGTTATAGGGATGAAAAAAAAAAACAAAATTTAGTGTGATTTTTAATTTCAAATATCTCATTAAAAAAACATTTTGTTTATTCTAAGGGACCTTCGGCCCTCGGTAATAATGTAATCTTTCATTCTGCATTTAAATTTTTCAAAAATATTTGTTAGTTTTCTCAGGATTCCAAAAAAATTTAAATTTTTTTGAATGCTAAAAAGCATTTAAAATTTTTAATTTTCATAAACAAGTAACTATGATTGTTTAAAAGTAGTTTCAAGTAAGATAGTACCTACATAAACAAACATAACGGCTATTATCGTTTATGTGTATATCTTTTGAAGTGAAAGAAACTACCTAATGATATATTTATTATAACTTGAAAAATAAACTAAACAATCATCATCATCATATAACGGGGGTCCTACGGCGATTGCCGCTTCCCGCATTTCAGCCTCCATCTTTTCCTATCTCCCCAATCTCCCTCTTCTAAGCCTCTAGATTGCATTGTTTTTGTAATTTCTCTTCTCCAGGAATTTGGTGGTCTTCCCTTTTCCTTCTTTCTGGCGGAACATACATTAAGGCTTTCTTTGGCCACCGCTCCTCCTCCATTCTCATCACGTGACCATACCATTGTAATTGCCTTCCTTGTATTCTATCTGAAAGAGTATCTCTAATTCCTGTACGGTTTCGTATTTCCTCATTCCTGATTCTTTCCATTCTCGATACTCGACATGACCTTCTAAGATAATCCATTTCCACAACGTCTACTTTATCTCGTTCATTCTTTGTCATCGTCCAACATTCGGCACCATATGTGGTAATTGGTTCTACAATTGCTCTGTATACGCGAAGTTTGGTATGCATCTTTATTTTATTAGACCACAGTAATGAATTCAGTATTCGGATGCATTTTTTCCCTTGGGCTATTCGGTTTTGTACATCTATCTTAACTCTGCCATCTGCTGATATGATGCTTCTGCTAAATCTTTTTGCTAAACCCGATATTAGTAATTGTACTATGTCATATACTATGGATGTAAGTATGCCGTTTGCTAAAATTTTATTGCAAGATTCTTGCAGGCAGCGTACCATAACAATCACTGAACTAGCATTCAAGTATTTTTGGTCACTCATTGTACTTGTTATTTCTTTAAACGGCCGTAAAATTTGGGAAAGTTGAGAACAAATAATCCAGTGTTCTTTATTTAGATTAGGTTTAAGTCTAAGTCTGTATTATTTAATACCAATGTGGAACGGGTTGCCTCTTCTAAGTCGGTCATTCTTTTTAACATGTAATAGGTGAAGTTCTTCCTAGTTTCCACGTCTTGGATTGGCCGTTTGGGAACTGTGTTCTGTTGTAATTAATACTTTAAAAGCCTTTCTGAAGATAAGGTACTTTTTTGAAATGTGTTTTTTGCAGAATTGTCGAAAAAAGGACTTTTTATTTTATCTATTTGTACACGACAGCATTTAAGTGCGTCCCCCACCAATAAATTTAATCATCATCATAAATCACAATCATCATAAAACAAAACATATTTAATAGCTTTGACCATATTTTAGGAATTATCAGTTACTGCAAAATTTACTTTTCGTTTTAGACCCGACTGATTAATGATTTCAGTAATCGCTGTTTTCTGGATTATGGTTTCCAGAAAAATGGCAGCAGCCTAATAAAAAAGTTTTGAATACTAAATTTTCGGTTAAATATTGTCCTGTTAATGCGAAGTAACTCTCAGTTACTCCAGATGTCCAGAGGTCAGTAGTAATACAGATATTTTCTACTTCTTTAACAACTTGCGATCTAATAATTTGCTCACTTTTGACATAACATTCCTGAAGTAATGAACCTGACAAAGTTTTTCTTGTTGGCGGTTTATATCCAGGAATCCACCCTGCAAACTTTTTAAAAGCTGGTTCTTTAACTATGGAAAACGGATGAAACGAAAAGTTTAGTAAATCTTGAAAATCAATCAGTCCAAGAAAAAGAAACTGATAAAGATGACTTAAGTCCATGGTGTATTTTTGATGAATTAATTGGACATGACTCATCTAAACATACACCTGTATCGAGAGGTATAAAAGAAGTCGACATGTAATTGTCTGATGATATATTACCCACAAACAATTTCGAACGGAGATTGTCCATTACCGTGGTGAAAAAACCATCGCCATGTATATCGTAACTTAACCACTATATTCATAAAATGTTGTAGTATTGTAACAAAATCTTTTCCTTGTGAACACATGTTTAACATCTGGTATAATTTTAAATAAAAGAAGAACGCGATTAACAAGAAAAGTGGAAAAACTTATGTTTTTAAATGTCAATTTAGACGATTCGCGATTTAATAATGTGTAATGTAAATGTAACTATTTAAGTACCATTTTTATTATTTAATTTATTTTTCAAGTTACAATAAATATATCCTTCGTTAGGTTCTTTTATTTCAATACTTATACACATAAACGATAATAGCTAATATGTTTGTGTACTCGCTAATTTGAATACTGGTAAACAATCAACTAGTTACAGTTTACGAAAAACGGTTCCGATAAAAATTAAAAAAACGAGAAGACCCACCTCTAGTTTTTTAGGTATATTAGGATCGGAACCAGAGAATATCTGATCGGAACTAATCGTCTCACCAATGGGCAATGGCCAATGAGTGTTAAAAGGATTTTAAGAGGGGAGACGAAGGGGAAATATGATTGTTATCTTTGTCTAATTCGTTGAAAATATGATTTTATATCTGCGTTAGATATCCTGTTAAATTTTACCATACCGACCTTAAAATTTTACCTACACTGTATATATATATATATATATATATATATCTAGGACATGCAATTAAAAACGAAAAGGAAAATCAAACCCTAGAAATTAAAAGGACACAATTGTCATGGCCTGCTTTTGGTAAGTTAAGCTTCATTTTAAAAGACAGAAAAATCCCAATTCACTTAAAACGAAAAACCTATGACACTTGTATACTACCAGTTGCAACTTATGGATTGGAAACTATGGCAATAACAAGAAAAATGGCAGAAAAATTAAGAGTAACTCAACGGGCCATGTTAAATATAAGCCTCAGAGACAAAATTCCTAACACCGAAATACGTCGAAGAACTAAAGTAACCGACATCATGGGAAAAATAGCGACATTGAGATGGCAATGGGTAGCACATGTAGCAAGACAAGACACCAACAGATGGTCTCATAAAGTGACATTCTGGAGACCTCGAGAAACAAAAAGAAGCGTGGGAAGACCTAAAAAGAGATGGATAGACGATATAACTGCTGTAGCTGGAAAGCAGTGGATGAGAATTGCAAAAGATAGGGAAGCGCGGAAGCAATTGGAGGAGGCCTATGTCGAACATTGGATAAATGAAGGCTGAAGAAGAAGAATATTTTGAATACTATAAAGCTTTATTTGACTGGTTAACAATCAGGGAAGCCTTTAATGAAAGTAATGAAAGTGTTTTTAGTGAAGCGGAAGACAATGAAGGATAAGTTTGTAAAGGACATGCTGCTGAAGTCACTTTAAAACAAATTTTTAGCATTTTTCATTGTTGTAATTCTCTTTAATAAAGTGACAATTTGCATAAAACAATAAAACCATATCTTTTAAACTTTTTTTTTGTTACTTATTATCATTAAAATTTCAATTTTTTTAAAAGTGCGTATGTAAGCAAAGTTTTTTAATTATTAACTAATTAACAAAAATTACTATTGATTGTTTTAAAAGTGTAATCTAATCGTGTTAGGTATATCTTTGAGAAAATACAGTTAAAATTAGAATAAAAAATTCTAAACGTGTTTTTTAGTTTCCCAAAAGTTTTAATTTTGTCAATTACGCCTTTAAAATAAAAAACAGATTCAAATAATGTATGGGATTAGGTATAATTTAACTTTTATTTTCTGGTAACAATAAGTTAACTCCTTGGAGACTAGATATTTACAATGTATTAATAACAATTATAATTTTGCAATAAATAAACGGCGAAACATCCAATTAAATTCGTGGGTGCCTACCGAATTCTACAATGAAACTAATTTTATAAACACCTTTTAAATAAAAAATGCACATTTACCTTTAAACACCATTACAATTGTTTTCCAGCTACAACACTAATATAAACTGATTTAACAACAATTTAATTTTATTATAATTCGATCATATCTTATTGTTATGATTAAAATTCAGAATTAAGGTATTGACCCATTTGTGCGTGCCCGTCTATCACTAAAATAATAAACTAATCACGTTTCGCTGAGTTTAATTGATCTATTATTTAAAAATGGGTACAAACTCATGAACATGAACACCTTCCGCTGACCGCAAAGGTTTAACCAAGGATAAGCGACACTATCTACTTTGCTTAGGTATTGTAAATAGTTGAATATTAAGTGTATCAAGTGTATGTGAAAAGTTGAATATCTTATGAAGCGGTGAATATTCATAAGCCCTTTAATTGTCCCTTAAATACTTTCCCAGAATTGATAAATGTTAATATTTAAAATAAGTAGGCATGAAAAGGTTAATACAATTTAGATTAGAACATTTTATTGAAAGTAGTTCAGTTTTTTTCTACTTACAGTATGGATTTCGTAGAGGTAGAGGTACAATTGATGCTCTTATATATTTAGTTACGAATATTTATCTCTGTTTCTCAAAAAACGATTTTTTTCTTACATGGCGCATCAACCACGCAGGGTTATTAGCGTGTATGGATTGTAATACAGAGTTAGAAATTAATAATAGATTATTAACCTTAGAATGGTATCGATATTTTTTAGGTACTTAGTGGTACCGTGAAGTCATACACGATACCAGAGATTTTTTTAATTTATACTAAAAAATAAAAAACATACGTATTTTCTACATTTTTAATTGTGACAAATCAAAAAGATTCTAAAGGAGAAGAAAATAACATGTTTTTACCAAAAAAAAAATCCAATTTCTCCGGTACAAGTTCGACAGATTGATCTTCTGTGTTCGGCACATAGACAAGCTTTATAGTTTATTTTTATGAACGAGAGAGTAATTAGCATAATTTTAACTGATATCTCCGACCACTCCATGGGCGTGCTCAAGATTAATTGAAAAATTACTTTGAATAATTGTAAAAAATAAATGAATTATTTCAGTGTTATAAAGTGTTATGTGTATGTAAACAAAAGTGACCTCTTTTATCACACACTATATTAGAACTGACTGGCTACATTAAAAAGGGTTTTAAAAAGTTTCACATTTTTTTTAATTTTTAAAAATTACTGAAGAGAATAAGAGTTTTTAAAACCGTCTAAGGTATGTTAAATAGATGAATAAAAATATTAATATAAAACTTACAGCTACTTGTTACAAATCCAAATCAGATTCAGAAGATAAACTTTCAAAACCAAGATTTATAATAACTGGCTCGATCATTTTATCAGTAATATTGTCCAGCTTCCACATTTTTTCCTCTTCTTTAATTGTGTGATTTACTGCCTTTTCCCAGTTTTCAGGTTTTACATTATTTACGGCCTCCAAAAACAACTGTTTAACATCATGAATTTTAAAAGTGGTATTTTTTCTTGAAACTTCACTCTTTATCTGTGCCCATACAAGTTCAATCGGGTTTAATTCACAATGATATGGTGGGAATCTAAGTACTGTCATTCCACGATTTTTGGCAATTTCATCAATTTCGTATTTTTTAAATTTTTCTTTATGAAGGGCACACAACGAATAAAGTTCCTTTCTTATAAATCCGGGATGGTACGTAATATTTTTTGAACTCAGCCAATTCTGCAAGTCTTTTTTTAACCACTTGGTTGTGGGCAGTCCTTCTATAAGTCTGGAGTGATAACTTGCATTATCCATTACTATTACACAGTTCTTAGGAAGAAGATCTATCATTTGTTCGAACCATTCTTAAAAGACATCAGCGTTCATGTCTTCATGGTAGTCACCGGTACGAGTTGATTCAAAAGTTAATAAACCACCTTCAACAAAACCATCTGAACTGCCAATGTGTACTATTATCAGCCTGCGTCCCTTTTCTGATGGTGGGTTTAAACCAGTAGATAAGTTATTTACAAAAGCGTGCTTTTGACTTGTAACAGTTTCATCCTGCCAAAATTTATTTGGTGTATGACCCTCGTTGATCCATGTTTCATCAAGATAAAATATTTTTCTTTTTTGGTTTCTCATTTCCTTTATGGTTCTTAGAAAATGTCTTCTCCATATGACAATATCGCTTTTTTCTAATAAAATAGACTTTCTAGGATTCTTTTTCCAGCGGAAGCCTATTTCTTTTAAAAGTTTCCATAACGTACTTCGACTCATTTCTGGGTAATCCTTATCATCTCGAACTGAGACAAGAACTTTATCCAATGTTGGAAATTCTTGTCTAAAGAAGAATTCATGCACTTTCCGTCGAAGACCTTCTTTAAAATGATATTCTATTTGAAATTTTGGTTTCCCTGGAGCATTACGTGGCATTTAAAAACTACCACATTTCTCTTCTTTAATAACTCTGTAAATCGTAGATTTCCCAACACCAACTGTACTGCTAACTAACTCAACGGTCTCATCAACACTTTCACATAAACGTTTGTCTGTAAATGATTTAAAACAATTAAATATTAATGTTTTTTCATTAACTGTTAAAGGACCAATTTTTCGACGTTTACACGGCGCTTCCAAATTTTCCATAACACTAGTATACACAATAAACTGCACCTTGCAACTGAAGTACCTACTTTTAGTGAACTGTTAAGAATTTTGAATACGCCACTTGGACCTTCCTACAAAATGGAAAAACCCACTATCACATTTTCTGTGGAATAAGTTTAGAAGGTAATTATCTAGTCAATTACTGTCGTAGATTCCTGGAATTAAAGAATTAAATGTTTGATTGTTGAAACCCTTACTTCGTGGAATGGACTCATTTCAGATAAAAAAACGTTTTATTTTATCTAAAGAATTAAACTTAATTTTGCAAATAGGTAGGTACTTATTAAACTTTTATTGGTTATATATAACCAATAAAATAAACATCTTACATTTCTTGCAAATTCATTAGTAACTGTTAACCTCCATCACTCCGACACTGGCAACTTTATTTAGGGGTTAGTAACCCTCACAACTATTGTATTCTATTCTGCTCCAACCGTTATACCTGGTGGTCATACTCAATTTAAAATTGTTTTCCTATATACTTCTGTAAACTTGTTGACAAATATCTGTTTTTCATTGAGTCACCCGTATCAACAGTTTAGGGATTTGCATACATAATTTATTGTTTTATTACTCTCTCATACATAAAAATACACTATAGCGGACGCACATGTCTCTACCTTTTCTGTTGGCAGAGCGAGGGCAAACCTGACATCTTTTGTGGGTTGTAGGTTGAGTTTCTGGTGGATAGTAGCTGCCGTACCTGGTACGAACGTGTCAGAAGAGCAGACCAATATAGGTGGATAAATAGAATAACAGAGTGGAGCCCGATAGGAAGAAGAAAGAGAGGCAGACTCCGAAGATCTTTCAGAGATGAAGTGGACGAAGCAATGAGAAGAAGAAACCTACAGGAAGGGGACTGGCTAAACACAAAAAATTGGAGAAAACGGTTGAGTGAAGGAATACAGTGAAAACTGTGGAAATCCTTGTATATATAGGTTGAGTTTCTTAATTTCTGAGTACTGGATGGTGCTGTTGACCAAGAACACTCAAAATAATGGAGCGCAAAATCTGGACAAAGGTGGTATTTCTAATCTCTTTTTTAGTTACGGATTCACCAACTGTAGTGCTAAATGTCTAAGATCTTTGCTGGAAGTAATTTTTAAATTTGGATCTGATTTGATTCTATTTGCGCTATAAATCACATAAGCATTAATAATTGCACTATCAAGTATGCCATAAACAACTCTAAGAAGTCACCGACGAGTTTTTCTAAACACAGGTTTAGAATGACACAACTGATCATAAGTGTGTACTCCTCCTTTTGTAGAGTTATAAAATTAAAAATCTCGAGCTTGCTAGTGTAATCATTAATTACACCGTATGAAATGTTGACAGCAACACAACATTTTTTTTTTTGTTTTGGAGAAAATGATATAGGTAATGGATTTTGACAAGAGCTATGACCTTGTAAATAGCAGGTAAACTTGTGTACTGCAAAGTAAGAACTTGGAACAATTTTTTTTCTTTTTAAGACATTCTGGCGGAATGTCAGACTTGTTTTTTCTCAAGGTTTCAACCATTGTCAACTTTTTTGTAAAAGCTTTTCTACAAAATCTCAAAACCAATTATCCACGGTGACATTTCTATTGGTGCCATAGAGATTTTTGCATAGGCGAAGAACGTATTCTGATATCCGTATAAGTCTGATGAGTCACGTTTTGAAAATCTTCCTGCGAGTAATACACAGCAGAATTTACACGCTGTTAGAGGACATAATTAGCAATACTCAATTTGGGTTTAGGAGTGGCTTGCGTACAAGAGAAGCCTTGTTTAGTATACAGATGCTAGTACAGAGATGCAGAAATATAAATCAAAATGTGTACATTTGTGCAATCGATTTTGAAAATGCTTTCGACATAACAAAATGCTAGATATATTGGAAACAGCTGGATTGGACGATAAAGATCTACGAATAAATACAAATCTATACTGGCATCAAGAGGCAAGAATAAAGGGTGAACAAGAACTATCGGATGAAACAAATATAAAAAGAGGAGTGAGACAAGGTTGTATATTGTCGCCTTTACTTTTTAACTTATAATCGGAGGAAATATTTAAGGAAGCCTTAATGGAGACAACCGAAGGTATTATTGTAAATGGAATAACCGTCAACAATATTAGATATACCGACGATACCTTAGTGCTTGCTAATTGCGGAGAAGACCTTCAAAATCTAATGAACAAAATAAAACAGACTTTTGATCAGTTAGCAAACAAAATTATATACAGGATGACGGATATAAAAGTCGGAGATGCTACACTGGACAGAGTAGAGAAACTCGTGTATCTGGGCAGTAATATCAATGAGATCTGGGATCCAACCGCAGAAATTAAAAGCCGAATAGAACAAGTCCGAGCTGCTTTTATAAAAATGAGAAACGTACTTTGCAGTCACGATCTTAGCATTGACCTTAGAGTTCGAATGACATCTTGCTACATCTTTCCTGTCCTGCTGTATGCTTAAACGCTTGACAGCCTTTGAGATGTGGGTATACAGACGACT